AAGGCTCTTGAGTGTTGGACTAGCTCAACGTTTACTCAGATACCCACACGAAGGGTGTGACGTCTCAGCACAGGCCTGTGTTCTGGACACATATTCCAACTGGGCAGTGTGCTCCTGGTCAAATGGATGGCTGGCTTTAAACCAAGTTAGGAGCAGAAGTTCAAAAATCCATTCCAGAAACTTCTATGAATGAGATCCCTACCTCAGATGGAGGGACCTTCTTGTCCAATCGCTGCATTCACCCAGCAGATTCTGGGTCTGGGGGCTTACTTTCCCTTCAAACAACAGTTCCTCCACCTCCCAGAATAACTGCTGTACTTTCTGCGCACTGGCTTTGTCAAACTCCTGAAACAGAAATACACACGGAGTTACAATACAAACAGTTACAGAAATATTCGCTTCACAATCCGTGACATTCTAGACATTTAAAGTGACCCATTATAAAGAACGGAATGTAGCATGGTGGAAAGAAAGTGGGCTTTGCAGTTAGACAAACTAGTGTCCCAGTTTTTCTTTTTCTTTTTCTTAAAATGGCACCTTACTCTGTTTATGATGCCAGGTAGAGTGCCCTGGCATCATAGCTCACAGTAACCTCAAACTCCTGGGCTCAAGCAATCCTCCTGCCTCAGCCTCCTAAGTAGATGGAACTACTTAGGCACCAGCCAGCCATCATACCTGGCTAATTTTTCTATTTTTAGTAGAGACAGGGTCTCATTCTTGCTCCGGCTGGTCTTAAACTCCTGAGCAAAGGCAATCCACCTACCTCAGCCTCTCAGAGTGCTGAGATTACAGGTGTGAGCCACCCCACCCAGCTGGGTTTTTATTTTCCTGATAAAGCACATCTCATTTTGAGCTTCAGGCTCTTAATTGTCTAATAAAGATAATTCCTGTCTAGGTGCAGATTCATACTGACACAGACATCAGTACAGATGCAGAGACCTGTGTGCACAGTCATATGTCACACCTCGGGGCTGTTCCTGACACAGCTAAGCATACCTGTAAAATACAAGCCACTTTTTTCTAATGATGATACCACAGGCATGGAAATTACTTTTGCAGAAAGGGCCTTCCTTTAATCAATGAAGTAGAAAAAATTTTAAAAAGAAAACTTAGTTATTAATATCTTAAGCAGTGTTATTGGAGTGAGGCCAAAATATCAATTTCTTCTCTGGCCTGGAGAGATTCTTACACTATGGCTACAGTGAACTATCGGTGAGCAAACCTTTCAGCAATGGTCTTGGTTGGGAGGCAACACTCCCGACCACTCACAGCCAGCAAGAAGGGAAACATTAATATAATTGGAAGAACCAACACTGCACGCACAAGCCAGCTCTGGACAAGAGCACAGCCATGTTTTCTAGGAGCAGGTGAATCCGACATCTAATTCTGGACTCAAGCAACTCAAAGGCCCTATCAGTCTGACATACTTAACCTAAAATGTCAATCCAGGTTGATTTTTCACAGAATGTTATTCACTATTTTCTGTGTTAGTTCTTCTCTCAAATTAATATTAATCCAGATTCCTAGGTTGTCAGAGAGATGAATTAATCCTTTGAACACGCAAATGAGAAGAAAAAGAATATTAATATTTGTCTCCTTGGAGGGGACATGGGCGTGGGAGAGGGCACACTCTCTAATAGATCTTTTGCATTCTGTTGGTTTTGCAAATATTTCCCATCAAAAACTAGGTACATTTTTTAAAATTAAATGAAACTAACTGTAGGATCTGGAGTGTTTTAAATTATATAAACAGAGCTGGGCACAGTGGCTCACGCCTATAATCCCAGCACTCTGGGAGACGCAGGCAGATGGATCCCTTGAGCTCAGGAGTTCAAGACCAGCCTGAGCAAGAGTAATAACCCATCTCTACTAAAAATAGAAAAACTAGCTGGATGTGGTGGGAAGCACCTGCAGTCTCAGCTAGTTGGGAATCTGAGGCAGGAGGATTGCTTGAGCCCAAGAGATTGAGGTTGCTGTGAACTATGATACCATGGCATTCTACCCAGGGCACAGGGTGAGATTCTGTCTCAAAATAATAATGATAACAAATGTAAGAAAAATAAATAAATAAATGTTATAAATAGAAGTCACGACTCTCCTGGGTAATTCCATGAAATTCTGCACTAAAGATTCCTAGAATTTAGACGGTCTGAGGCAATGGCTCTCAGCTTTCTCCACATGGGCACAACCAGGAGTGGGTGGTAGGGGGAGGGCCCGAGGGGGGAAGCTGACCCTAAGTGAGGGAGTCACATGCTGGGCAAGTCTCTGAGCATCCTGAGCTGAGCCCCTTCCTGTATCCCCTGCCATGTGCCCTTCTGGACACTCAGGCATGCTGTGGGGAGGGCAGTGGACTTCACAAAGGACAGTTAGGTATATTCTTTTTTTACTCTTTTCTTTTTTTTGATCAATATAATTTAAGTGTGCCACAGAAATTTAACTATAGATTCAAGAGTGCCATGAGATAAAAAAGGTTGAAAATATCTGACTTAGGGGCGTGGTGAAATTTCACAGTTTTAGTCAAGTTCTTCATTGCCTGTGTCAGGGTCTGTCCTGAATTTCCAACCACAGATACCATACAAGACGTCATGCAGAACACATCAACTGGGAAGGGTGGAGAGGTGGGAAAAAACAAGACTACCTACAGCTGAGACTGACCTATGAGACTGTGACTGATTTTTATTTTTCCCTATATTTTGCTATTTCAATATTTTTACGTGTAACACAAAAAAGCTTTCATGTGTCTAAATCAATTGCTATGTAATAGCTAACGTTTTTATAATTGGTAAAAAGACTGTTTGAACACAAGGAAGCAATTCTCCACTATACATTGTAAATACAGAATGATCCAAAGTATTCTGAGACATACATCATCTCTCCAAGAATAAACTGAGCTCCTCTCCGTAGACAGGCTGGGGGTAGAGCTCTGTGTTGCAGACCCAGACCAAGAGCTATGGGCTTCTGTGGGCGTGTGGCTTCCACTGGACGAAAGTGATGATGGGGACTCGCTGCAGGAGTGAGTATGAGCAACAGAAATGACGTTAACTGGGAAGAGGTTATGCTGGTAAGAGGCTTCACGCCTCTGAGTACACCCCCCTCTTTCTTTCCTTAAATACATTTATTTTCACAGTACACTAATTTTATTATATTATTATTATTTTGAGACAGAGTCTCACTCGGTCACACTGGGTAGAGTGCCGTGGCATGATCATAGCTCACAACACCGTCAAACTCCTGGGCTCCGAGTGATCCTCCTGCCTCAGCCTCCCATGTAGCTGGGACTACAGACACCCACTACCACGCCCGGCTAGTTTTTCTATTTTTAGTAGAAATGAGGTTTTGCTCTATCTCAGGCTAGTCTCAAACTCCTGGGATCCAGTGATCTAGCCGCCTTGGCCTCCCAGAGTGCTGGGATTACAGGCGTGAGTCACCGTGCCTGGCCC